TAAGGTGGTTTGGCCAAGGGACCACTTAGTGTAAGTGTTGGGCCCATAGAGTCCATGTGATGGGCTCAAGGGGTTCACTAGGCTTTCTAGTGAATTCAGCTAGGCCTTGTAACAAAGGCTGGGCCGAACCCTTGTGCCTGATGTGTAGATAAATGCTTGAGTCCCATGCCATACAAGGAAGCCCAACTGGGTAGCAGTTTGGAAGGCTAAGTGAGCACATATACTTATTGGGCCTAAAACCCATTTCGAACTGGGCTGATTTGATCAGTTAAAGATGGGGGCGGATCTGAGATTAGATTGACAGATAGGATAGGGTCTTATCCCTCTCCACTCAGAGAGCCCATATCCAAATAAAGATTTGAATTTGGAAACCTCCTAATAAGATCAGGAAGGGCTGATCTAATCTGTAGATAAGATAATGACTCATCCTTATCACTTAAAGGGGATTTACATCCAAATAAGATTTGGATCAGCAACTCCTAATAGGATTAGGAGTTGATCCCTTTAAGGTTATAAAAGGAGGAGGGGGCGGCAGCCTCTAACACAGACATTCTCACCTATAGAGAAAAGATCACAGAAGAGAGAAAACAGCTCGCAGTAAGACTACGCTGATTTCTCCCTGCCGCCTCCTTCCTGTCACCACCGCCATTGCCAGTGCATCTCCACGACAGTAGGAGTGATCAAGAACGGTTCTTGATATCATTCATTTGTGAAATGGCTGATTGGAAGTCGTGCTCACGTGCCGTCCAGCTGATTCTTGCGAAGGATCTGGTTCTTTAGAAGAACACTGCCGATTCTACTCCATCCTACACTGTGCCATTTTGAGTGGGAGCAGTCTTTGGTTCTTTCCTTAGACATGAACACCTCCATTGGGAGATATTGTTTCTCCGTATCAGTTATATCCCTCTCCTGCTTCTGGTTTCAGATCTGGTTCAGTTTATGGTTCAAGATTGATCCTTGAAAATGCAGATTTTCTAAAACAGGGAATGTGATTCCTAGATGAGGGGAGAGGAAATTTTTGAAATTTCGCCCAACCTACCTGTAGGGTTCGGCCATCCATATGATGGATCTCTCATTCCTTCAATAAAAACCCAAGAACTGTGGGCAGATGCAAGATTAGCCCATCAAGTATTACCCTTAATGGTCTTATACTTAGTCTCTCAACCCATAATGATCAAACACTGCCCGACAAGAGATGACCTCTCCCTCGGCTGCAAGGAACAATGCTGCACTCTCTACTCACATGGATCTTGGGAATTAAAACTTTTTGCAAACATTTTTGAAACCATAATATATATATGTATATGTCGGTATAAATATATTTTGCAAAACAAATTTCAACGATTGAAATCGGTTGCCGACAGCTTTGGTTTTCATCTGAGAGAGTGCATCCCTGATCATTCACTTTATCCGACAAAGGGGCTGATCCTGTCACTATGATCACCCACTCAGATGAATTTGCGAACTGTCCCAACATACCCAGGTTTTGACCCGCTCTAAGGATCTCACTGATTGGCATATCAAAGACAGCCCAATCCAACACCTAGTGCAGTATCATAATCGAGTCTAGGGGTCAGGTGTAACATTCCAGTTTTGCCCATCAATCTCCAAGGTCCAGGGCAATACTGGAATTCTGGTCCGGTTCAGGGTTTCAAGAAAACCCACACTACATGTACCTCCAGTCTCACCCTGGCAGCTGAGATAAGCTACCCCAACCAACTTGGTGGCACATCAGTGTTAATCTTGGCAAGATAAATCTCCACAGATCTATCCAACGACTGTGAGGATTCTAAACTAACACGAGTCTCATATGTGTCCAGTTTAAGGGTATTATACAGAAACACACCATAATAACACGAATCAAATATGTACTTTATTCATTTACATTAAATGTCATAATGTACATCATTCTGATTGGAGATAAGGGCATACGCTGTCTAACATTAATAAACAACACAAAAATGTCAAAAATACCTACGTAGTTACTTTTGACCAAAATGTTTATTTTCCAAATTTTTTCTTCATAGCAATCACTGCCCCAATCCCTTCTAATCTCTTTTTTAGAATTGTTGTATTTTCCAAATTTGCCCTTCATATCATTTGCTCAAATGTAAAATTGTAACTTTAATTTATATTGTTTTTTATGTATAAACCAGCCTCAATAATAAATATATGGGCATTTTGGACGTTTTCATGCATAGAGGATTTTACAAAGAGGATCTATTTGCAACTGTGTCAAGAAGTTTAGAAGAGGATTGGGCAATAGTTAGAAAGTTCAAGCAAGGTTTCAACAATTATCATAGTTTGTTTTCCAATTATTGAACAAAAGGAGGGATTTTGTGTATTTTCCTTAACAAGCATTAAATGGGAATGTTAAATAACAATTTTGCTATTGAATTGTTTTACAATCATGAACAAAAAGAATGGTATTTTGTGTCTTTTAGTAATAAATATTAAATGAAAAACAAAATTACATATTTACCATTATTCACTCTTTGATTCAAATGATAAAAATGGATATTTTGGTCTAATAAAAATTCCATAAGCTAATTACATCTATTCGTAATGGGGCGGGCGGGGATCTCATTGTCCGACCCCGACAGAGACCCGACCCGATGGGTCGGAGAGGTCGGGTACCCGTCGGGATGGGGAAAAATTGCCATCCCAGGAAACCCTCAAAGATACACGTGTGCAGCCTTTACGCCTTAAGTCTTCGGTTAGAGGTAATATAAACAGTGAAACAGAATATGACATCGTCGGCGCTTTTTTCCGGTTACACCACCACTCGGTTCCTTTCCTCTCGGTACCATTCCCTCCTTGCGGTCTCTAACAAACTTCGCTTCCCGTCTCCCTTTCTGTTGCCTACAAGAACGAGAAGAAGATTCTGTACGAAGATGTCGGCACAGGAAGGTTCACCTCTCATTCACACTATTAGTTTGCCTGGACAAGGAGGATTTCAGGTTATAGCGGTACCGGGGATGTCCGATTCTGAGTTTAGGTTTTCCCATTTCTTTTTCTATGACTTATGAATAGAGGTTTCTTGTTTGTTAGTTTCATTGCAATTCACTTGGGTTTGTGGTTTTGTGATTTTTAATCCAGCAATCCCTCTTTATTATTTCACTATGTTGATGGTGTATTTGTTCGGTTTGAGTGTTCTTTTACTCTCTTTTACCTTTACTGTTTAAATTAAGGTCTTAGCGTTGCTGATGTCGAGTGTATGCTCGCTAAAGAAGTAGAAGAAAATCAGGATAAACTGCTTTCCATGTATAAACATTCAATCAAATTGACAAACCGAAAACCCAAGAATACTGGAGGTCATAGGGTAGGACTACTTCAATTCCAATTTGAGCGGAGGTTCCTATTTCGATCTTCCTGAATCCATATTTTGTTTCCCAGAGGAAAATGAGATCCCAAGTAATCATTGTACTCTTTTTTTGCTTTTGCACTTAATCAATAAATGATGGGCTAGGCATGGTGACAGGAAAGAAAACCTCTATCATTATCTCGGCTTCAAGAATCAAACCCCTCCACAAAATAAATAAATAAATAAACAACTTGAGTTGCTGAATTGAGTTCTGTCTGGCAGGACTGCTATTGGTTCGTCTTTATTCAAGCAATGGTTGAAAAACATGCAGGGTGTAAAGGGGATTTTAACTCCTGGAGACATGTCTTTGAAACAAGTACTGATCCAGGTAACTTTTGTTTTAATGCATTATTTGTACAATTCACTGAGATAGGTCAAAGGGCATTTCCTCAGTTATGTTGTTATTTTTGGCACTTTGATCCTTATATTGTCCCTCATCCCTTGACTTGCTATTATCCTATCAGTGGGCTGGGGAAAATGTTCTCTTTTTGTGCTTTGATGCATTTGCAAATTGCAATATAAAATGATGTAGTGTAGTTTTATAATTATGGTTTGTCAATTTTTGTTTGTTTGTTTTATATAGTCCCTTGTTTTTTAACTTTAAATTTCACTCCAGGTGGAAGGTGGCCAGCTTAGATTTTTATTAGTAAGCCTAAGAGGAGGGAACGAAACCTTGCAATAAGATACACCAAAATTCTCATCAAGATCAGACTACATAACAAAAGAAAAATAGAAAATGAGAGGCACAAACCTTATCTTAGACCAATCACAAGTTTACATCTTATTAAGTTAATCTAAGACTCCAAAGTCCGTATCTCAAGTTCTCAACTTTATCTATCCTGGAGATGGATTTAATCTCCGGGGTGTTCCCTCTCATTAGTATATACGGTACACCCTGTTTTCCACTGAGCCAGCTTCATTTCTTGCAAGTCCATCCACCACCTTATTGCATTTTATGAAACATGACCTATCTTGAAGTGCAATCTTCAAATTATAATTTTAATTTCCCTTCACCAGTATAATAAATATGAAAATTGGTCTCCAGTTTCCATTATATTGCGTTTGCAATGCTACCATCTGGGAATCACTGCTGACCTTTGAGTAGCCATTAATACCATGAACTTATTAACATTTCTTCCCATCAAAGACCACACTGGATTCAGTAAACCTGGTCAATTTGGTTGGCCATGTTCATGGATAATAACCCAGACAAAAACCTTACCATAGCATCTCTAGAAAATTCCCTTTCCTCCACTCTCGCTGGGATGCCTTGTGCAACCATATACAGATTGAGTTTGTAACAGCTTTCTTGTGGTTTGAGCCTACAATTGAGAGAATTTATACATCCTAGGAAGGTTTATCTGGATTCTCATGACATTCATAAGGACATCTTTGAGGAAAGGTGGCTATCACTTGAATATATTAATTCTGCAATCTCCTTAGCTCAATTCAGCACATTTGATACCCCAAGCATATATTGTGCAATGCATCTTCTTGTTTTAATGCTCCTCTCATTCCAGAATTTGCAAAACAGTCGAATCTAGATCTAGAATATAGAAATAATCCTACTTTTTTGTAATCATTTTTTATCAGCATACTTTTTCGTAATCATTAATTGAAAGTTACTATTTCCAATCAAAATAAAAACAAAAAAAAAAACAAAAAAGAAATAAACCTGTTAGGAGTTGAATTGGTTTCTTTCACTACCCTGTTAAACCACTGCAAAACATGTAGCAAAGAAGGTCAGTAGAATGATAATTTACATTAGAAAAGTTCATCAAGATATTTCAAACATGCGATGTCACTGTACTGCTGAGAAGGTGGCCTACAGTTCACCTTTCCCAATGTTCAACACAAAACCAATGTCAGGAGCCAAATGGATGCCACAGTGCTGAGAACTTGTATCCACTTGAATCGCCTTTTCACCTTCCAAAAGAAATTACATATTTTTATCTGTGGTGCTTATTTGCCACACCCATTGCATCCAAGGCAGAATCTTTGCCTTGAATCTTCAAGTATTAACCACACATGACTGAAAAGAACTTTTGGTATTCAGATTTGGAATGAACTTGTCTTCTTCATCTACAAATTTGAGACCTGAACTGGAAAGACTTTCAGGCTTGAAAACCAAACATCAATGACAAATTAATGGTGCAGCCCACTTCTGAGCTGCAATTGATAAATCGACAATGATCACAGTTGAACTTTCATAGTCGTTTTGATCTCATCCACATTTCCACTAAATCCATTAGAAAAGTATTGTTGAACCACCTGTTGCCAAACTAAGATTTTCCCTTTGATTGAATAGTACTAGATCATGTGGTCTCAAGTTCCTTCTGGGGTCATGAGTTAATGCTGAAAGCTGATTTTCCCCCTCATCATTGTGGATTAAGTTGTAATTTCATGCTTTTTCTTTAGTTCTACTAGTTGTTATTTTAAATTTATTTAGCCTCTTTATTCACTGAAATGTTCCTTGCTCTGTACTTTCTTACAAATTTAGTTCTCTCATTTCACATTCATCTTTTTTTCTTTTTTGATAATTCTCATTTCACATTCATCTTAATAAACTTTTCTTGCTCTTATTACTGATAAAAAAAGATAAATTTTGTTGAGCCTCCTCTCATTGGATAAAGATTGAGGGGTTAGGATTCTAATTCCTTGTAAATTTACTCACTTCATCTGCATGGCTGATAATTTAATTCAGTTATTGCTGCTTAGATATCTAGATTTTTCATATAAACTAAGGAGCATGCACATTTTTTTGGGGCATTCCTGTGTTCTTTTTCCTACAAGTTTATATCAATGAAAATTTGGTTTTCCTTTCTAGTCTTATTTGATTATCACCATCTGATTGACACAACTGTTAGTTAGCATAGATGTACATGTAGATATGATGGATGGTGTAATCACTTCCTAGAAGGGAAACCCAGCTGACAATATTTTCTATTTGGAACTCTTTATTTATTTATTTTTTTTAAATTCCTTATATTCTAGCTTTTATTTGTCAATAGGGTGTAGATATGTTTGGAAAACGTGTTGGTTTTCTGAAGTTCAAGGCAGATATTCTTGACAAAGAAACTGGTAAAAAGGTATTGCTTACAATCTCTGTAATATGTGCTAGTGTTTAAGGTTTTTTTTTTTTTTTTAATTTTTTGGTTATTTTTATCAGCAACAGATCAAAGAGAAATCATTTAAATGAAATGGTAGGAGAGTATATCCCCTAAAATTAGGTGATTAGCTAGGGGAACTGGATGATGAAGATCACTGACCAACATATGTTTCATGTTAACTTACCATTTTCAAGAGAACGTTCTTATCTTTTACTCTACCTGAATGAGCTGTACAAAATGATTGTTGAAGAACCAAGCTTTTTTAATTAGATGCTTGAGTGTTTCAGATTTAATCATTTAAACAACTAAGGCATCAATACCTTTCATAGACCAAGTAATAAATACAAATATACAAACAATTTATCTAGTGTTCTCTTGGAATCTGAAAATTCTTGCCTTTTGTGTTATCAAAAATGTTAGTGTGCTTCATTGACCCCCACTCCATCAGATCATTGCTTCTTGTATCAAGCATAAAGATGGAATACACAAAAATGAACACTGGGCAAAAATCCAAGAGCCATCCCATTCTTATTATAAAGTCAAGTCTCAACCATACAAGCTTCCTATTTATTTAGGACCTTCATTTTTCCAATGAACTCTGATCTTGCTAAAATCTCAGCTCTAGAAAAATCCCCCTCAATTGCCTCACCTTACCATTCAATTTGGGCAATAAGTCAGGGGCAATCTCACCAATCCCCTCCCTTGAAGCTCTACCATAACCTAAATGACTGGCATTCCCTAATGAGAAACTGTTAAAGTTTAGCTAAGTGGTGCCTAAGGAGGAGATCATGTAATTGATGTGTCCTTCTGGAGGTTGGTTTTCTACATGGGTAACCAATTGCAGATAATTAAATCCATCACAAGTCATTTGAAGATATTCATGTTCTTCACTCAATGAACCAGTCAAGGAGTGGTTGAGTCGATGACTTGTTATAAATGATCTCTGTTATGAAATATTCTAGAAGTTCTTTAGACTCATATTTTGACAATGTTCTAGAATATATAGCAATACTCTTCATCAATTTTTCCATTTTACTTCCAGGGGCCACCTGACTCTTTAGAGAATCATCAATGTTCTGTGATGTGTAATTAATTCATAGAAGTTGGAAACTCTTCGAAATATTGTAAAGTTACTGAAGCTATGGGGACATTCAGAACAAAAGTTCACAAAATTATAGAATAATCATAAATACATGTAGGCTCTTTACACAATCAAAACAACCATCTTAAATACCAACTATATCTATCAACTACATTGTTAAATATTTCTGAATTTCTGACACTTTGAAGATCCAAGCTATGAATAATTAAATAGTCCATGGCCATGATTATAAAGTACTCTCTATTCTCTAGAAATGCAGCAAATGTTTTTGATAAATTAGAAACACAACAAATTTACTTTTTTTTTTGTTTATTATTTTTTTTAATAACAAGAAAATAAGCCTATTCCATTAATCCAAACCATAGTTGTCAAGGCAATGCCTAGGTGGGCGCCTAGGCGATAAGGCACCCTTGGAGGTTCACCTCGCCTAATCGCCAAGTAGTTTTCTATAGCGTGTTATAAAAAACTTTTATATTCTTAATTTTTGGAGTTATAATTATAAAATAGACATTTTTAAACTAAAATATTCATTTTGTGTGTTTATATACTAATTTCTTTTTATTATTTTCTTATATGTTAGGGTTTAATTAACACAAACATTGCTAAATGCTGTATTGAACCCTCAAAGACTTCAAAACCTGAACCAATAAGCAAGGAAGAACATAAAATGTTGTCCAATCAACACATTTTCTTATTTTTCTTTACTAATTTTGTGTGTTTATATACTAATTTCTTCTTCTTCTTCCACCTTTTCTTTTCTTCTTTTCCTATAACAGAAATAGGGGTTCAACCCCTATATTTTTAAAATTTTCTTTTCTTTCTTCTTTTTCTTCTCATGAATATGTTGGAATATGTTGATTTTCTATACTTTAACATGAAGTTTATACTTCTCTTATGAAAATTATGGATATTTATTAAGGAAATATGATTATGGAACCTAGGGAACTACTATAGGATACATATTTTTACTTAAAAAAATCCATCGCCTAGGCGGCAAGGTGCCCCCCTGCCGCCTAGCCTCGCCTTGGCGCCTTGAAAACTATGATCCAAACAAACACTACATGATATATATGCCACCAATGGATGGAGAGAGCCCAACAATAGCAACGTTATTCTTCAGCTCTCATCAAAAGGTTTCAAGTACGCGAAACAAAAGAATGAAAAGATACCAGGAAACCCCATCCAATTACTGTAGTATCATCATTTTAGACGAAACCTACCCTTTGAAAGACCCCCAAAAAAACTAAAAAAAAAACACCACCAATATGTAGAAGAGAAGGAACGAAAAACCACAAAAAAGGCAGAACATATTCACTACATTCAGTCAGTTTGTCGAACCACTAGGGCATTCTCTGGCGAAATGGCCTTCTTCCCCACAATTGTAGTAGTTCCCACTACCAAATCCACCTCCACCATACCTTCTTCTACCATTGCTGCCTCCACTTGCCTGATAACACTCCCTCGAAAAGTGCCCAGTTTCACCACAGTTGTAATCCTTCCACTACCACCTCTTTTGCCTCTGCCACCACCCCCATTAAAAGCATACCCTCCACCACCATAACCACCCCTACAACCATCACCACAACCACCGCAACCATCTCTCCTGCTTCCTTGAACGTAAGACCCATCGGGGCCGGTCACATCCACAGCTTTTGTCCTCCCATCTTTGGTGGTATCAATCACAAATTCAACCTTTTCTCCCTCAGTAAGGCTCCTAAAACCCTTAGACTTAATAGATGACTGGTGGACGAAGAGATCTTTGCCACCATCGTCCAGGGTAATGAATCTAAAGCCCTTGGTCCCGCTGAACCATTTCACAACTCCAGTCATTCTCACACTCCCTGAGCCATGGATCGATCAATCTATTGACGTATGGGTGAATACTTCAACAAAAACCCAAAACCCTAATACTCTAGAAAGTAGAAACAAACTAGATGCGAAACCCTAACCCCAAGAACACTAACGAAAGCAAGCAAGAACCGGGTAGAGACCAGAGAGTGAAACTTCCCCACTTAGTCACTCCTCTCCCTCCCCATTCCTCCACTTTCGCTCTTTATTGAAAGAACATATACTTTATGAGTTTATGTTTACATGTAACCTCTAGATAAAAAAAAAAGACTATTACCCAATGTTGGTCCCAGCTATCTAGGATCTTGGGATGGGTGTACTGGATATGGTGCTAACCTTTGGTATTTCTTTTACACAAAGTGGCTGCTCTCATGACTCGAACTTGCATTCTCACGCTTGACAACCTGAGATTTTATTTATAAAACCAAGTAGTGGTGAAATGGTTAGAACATGTCACCTGTAGATTAGGGTGTGAAATGGCTAGACATTGTTACATAAATCTATTGTATTTCTACATGATTTATTGCAATGTTTTAAAAGGCGTGGGAGGCGGGCCTCCAGGCGAGGCGCTCCCAAAACGCCCTGAGGTGTATGCCAAAGGCGCTGACACCTCTGAGGCGTACGTCTCAGGTGCAAGAGGTGTACGCCTCTTACGCTTTTTTCATGAGGCGTGCTAGAGGCGTATGCCTCATGCACATCTTATATTAAATGACAGAAAAAAAAAAGAAAAAAGAAAAATAAGGAAAGGAAAGGAAAGGAAAAGAAAGGGAAGGGAAAGAAAAAGAAAGAGAAGAAAAAAAGAGAAAAGGGAAGGGAAGAAAAGATAAGGGGAAAGAAAGTGGTTTGTCCACTGCCCCTTCGGCTAGGGGGCTTCGCCCCCCAGACCCTTCCACCCCCTTTTTGATGCAGCCCAATTTGTTTTTTTGAATTAGGGGTGGTCTTGCTCTTTTCCAGTGAGCTTGCTTCGCTCGCTCGCTCGCCTCCACTTCTACAAGACAGCCCCCCCCTTTCAACTAATGTTATGCATCTTTGTTCTTCTTAATATAAAAGATTTTTATTAAAAGTAAGGAAAAAATGAGATCCCCCCTTCTTCTTCATCCTCCTCCTAACCCCCTCCTCTTAAGGAGGCTTACGCCTCCTTGTGTTTGGGAGGCTTATGCCTCTTGCGTTCTGAACTACGCCTCACACCTCTAGGTAGTGGAATGCCTCGCGTCACGCCTCCGTGTTTTAAAACATCGATTTATTGTTGTACTTTGTAATATTTTGGGTATGCAAATATCTTTTTCCCCCTTAGGTTTTTAAGATAGTTTCTACTTTTCTATTGGAAGAACCCTTTTATATTTAATTTATTTTAGAAATTCTGTCAAAATTCTTCTGTGCCTTGACCAAAGTTMTGCAATTCTTTTCTTTCATGTTGTGGATGTGGTAGTTCAACGAAACAATTGAAACTTACCAAATTTTGGCTAGAATTTATTGAACTTTGATTGAAATCATATAATGCTTATTTCTAGCAAGTCTAGCTTTGAGTTCCATGTAAATGGAAACTTATGGTCCGTTTGGCTGCCGAGAAATAGTGGGATGAGAAGGGATGGGATGAGAAAGGAAATTTTATTTTCTCATTTTGGCATCCCATCCTATGTTTGGTTGCTGAGACCAATTATTCTACAAAATTTGTTTTCTGGTGTTTTTCTTCTGTGCCTTGACCAAAGTTCTGCAATTCTTTTCTTTCATGTTGTGGATGTGGCAGTTCAACGAAACAATTGAAACTTACCAAATTTTGGCTAGAATTTATTGAACTTTGATTGAAATCATATAATGCTTATTTCTAGCAAGTCTAGCTTTGAGTTCCATGTAAATGGAAACTTATGGTCCGTTTGGCTGCCGAGAAATAGTGGGATGAGAAGGGATGGGATGAGAAAGGAAATTTTATTTTCTCATTTTGGCATCCCATCCTATGTTTGGTTGCTGAGACCAATTATTCTACAAAATTTGTTTTCCGGTGTTTGATTGTTGAGAAATTTTTGCAAGATGCTTGATTTCATTCCTCTTCAACCATTAACAACAGTAGAACGTGAACACCCATGGTTGTCTCCTATATTCCCCTTCATCCATGATCGATGATGATGACAGAAAGTTTAGCAAGGTTTAGATCTGCAATAATAAATCGTTCTACTTAATAGCAGAGGTTCAATGATAACAAATCTGCAATAGAGGTTTTAGCATATCTGCAACGATGGTGATGGCCAAGAAATCAGGGATGCCTAAGAAATCTAACCAATATATCATGAAAAAAATTACAAACTTGTTAGATCTGCAACGATGAGAACAGAGTTTTAAGCAGATCTACCAATATTTGGTTGTCGAAAGGTTAAGAAATCATGAATGGGAAGAAAAGCAACGACGTTTTAGAGAAAAAAATACAAAAAATAGTTTACCAGAGAGAACGGAGCATGGATAGGTCTTACCTTCGTTGGAGATGAAGAACAGTGATTGGACTCTTTGGCGCTTGGGGTTCTGAAGCTTAGCTAGGAAGAAAAACAATGAGGTTTTTGAGGAAAAAAAATACTAAAAGAAAAGGTTTAATGAAAGAAAACGGAGGAGATTCCATGTTGTCACCAGAGATTAAACACCCTATCGATAGGGTCTGAACCTCGACTTGGAAGATAACCGATAATGAGTTTTCAGAGAAAAAAAATACAAAATGGCCAAAAAATATGAAACGGAGATGGAGATGGTGAATGGAGGTCTTAGATTCATTAGAGGTGAAGAAAACAGTGGTTGGAGATTTGATCGTAGGGACATGTGAATGGAGATGTTGCCTTCGACAGTGGTTGGAGGTGAATGGAGATGTCGCCTTCGACATTTTTTTCTCACCGACTTCTCATTGTTTTCGTTTCTCACCAGGGTCGCACCTATCTGGTGAGACCCCGCGTCTCTACTTTTGGGATGTAAGCTCTCATCCCATATTGTTTCGACCAAAACAAAAGAGAAAAAATAGGAATCTTATGTGAATATTCCTATTTTCTCATCCCGGTCGCAACAACCAAACATACCATTAATGATGGAAATAAATTGTTTTTGGTGGAAGATAAACCATGGTTGAACTCACTAACAATTGTTAAAAAGAAAAAGAGATAATTTATTCCCTTGCTTCATACCTTAATTCACTTTTTATTGGTATTTGAATAGTTGGGTTAATGGGGACATGGGGTGTGGAGTGGGAACAGAGGAGGATTCACGTGAGGCACTCTGGCCATATTAAGGAGAGCCTGCAGTTCCACAGGTTGTTCCCACATCTCTGCTCAAGGGCTGATGCCAATTGACAATCTCAACTACCAGGTCATTGGCCCTATCTCTGCCTTGTAACCTAATAAGGCTCAACTGGTTTTCTTCTAAGATTTGTAGATGTTCAACTTGCAAACTACGCAATTTCTAGCTAACCTCTTCAAATAATACAGGCATGCTATCTCAATGTCATCCAAGATCCATTTGATTGACTGGTTCTGACAAGGAGTCCTCAGGAAGGAGAAATCACTTCATCGACTACCTGTTGTATACTGTCTTTAACAATGTTTTTGAACTGTCATTGACCCGGATGGTCGGACCATTTGGCCTGGAAACCGTCTGGACAACTGGTTCCGTTTCACCCCTAACCCGTTATTGGGTCAAAACCCGTTGACTTCGTCAAAAAACCGCTGACCTGGGAGGTCGAACCGTCGACTCGTTTGACCTGGCCAGCGGTTTGCAATATAAAGTTGCAGAGAGGAGAACTCAGATCTGAGATCCAGTCAGACACGAACTCAGATCTGTTATCTAGCACAAAGAGGAGAAGAAGAAGAAGAAGAAGAAGAAGAAGAAGAAGAAGAAGAAGAAGAAGAAGAAGAAGAAGAAGAAGACTTTCTTCTACAGGTGTTTTAGAGAAATCGATCTCAGATCTGAGATCCGAGAACTCAGATCTCAGATCTGAGATCCAAGAAATCAGATCTCAGATCTGCATCTTTTGCCGCTGCCTCGCCATCACCGTCGCCGCTATCGTTGCCGATGAGCATCCAATCATCTTCCTCTTCCTTCTTCTTCCCTCCTTCTCTCCTTCTTTCTTTTTTTTCTTTCTTAGCCGACAACAGTTCTCCTTTCTCCTTCTGCTTTCTGGCTTTCTCAGCCGACATCTCTTCTTTCTTATACGAGGTTTGCATATTAGGGCAAATCTCATATAAACATTTGCTCTAATATGCAAACCGTTCAAACCGTTCGACCCGGATGGTTGAACCGCTGAACGGTTCCATTTCCAGGTCGGTTTTTAAAACCTTGGTCTTTAAACAAAATATATCGTTTTCCTAAGATTTGCGATAGAGCCTCAATAAATATATATTTGTTGTTTGGTTTTCAGTTTACTTTGGCTAAAGATGCATTACCGGATAATGAATTATATCACCCAATTCCCACCTAATTAGGGGTGCTCATGATTCGGTTAACCGAACTGTGGGCCTTTTTATAAACCGAACCAGTGGTACCAGTTTTTGGAAAACCGGTAACTGAAACCGAACTGAAGCTGATCGGTTAACCGGTCAATCATTCAGTTAACCATCGGTTTGGCAGTTTTTTGGTTTTCATAATATTATATATAATAAATAATATATAACGAATATAAAATGTTATATCATAAATAATAAATAATATATTATATATTATAAATATATATATATATATATTTATAATATATAATACTCATATATTCATTTATAATATATAGATAATATAAAATATATGAAAAATATATATAATATACATAAATATATAATATATAAATATATGTATTCAGGTTGGTTCAGTTAACCGACAGTTTTTTCTATTGGTTAACCGAAACCAAACTGGTACCTTCGGTTTTCCAAAATACTGAACTGTTCAGTTCGGTTAACTGGAAAATTTTACCAAAAGAATGTCGAGTGAAATGTTGCCTTAGTTTTTACCCACTTTTTATTCTATCTGCAATTATTTGCAATAGGAAAAATACAAATGGAAAATTCTCCACCATGATCAGTTGGTCCAACCATTTCGGTTTGGTTTACTTGAAAAATGAAATCCATATTCAAGTGGTGCCCTCTCCACATTGCCCAGAATCTCCTATTCTCCTTGCCTTGCAAGACAAGTAAAATTTCTCTCCCGCATATGTCCAAAACTATCAATTCTTGACAAAATGAAACTGTATTTACTTGTTTTTCTTCTTGATTTTCTTCCTTCACCAATGGAGATATATTACTTCTTTTTTTGGTAATATCTTCAAGCATGCACCTTTTACCAATCTTTGCTTACATAAACTGACATATGTTTAGATTCCAGGCATTGTATTCTCACGAGGACCTGCTGTTGCTGTCCTGATCCTTTTGGAGTCGGAGGGTGAGACTTATGCTGTTCTCACAGAGCAGGTATAATTTTGTACTTTTAGGTACTGCATGATGCTTTCACACACATTTCTCGATTCTTATTAAACCATATATAATACTAGAATTCAGGTTATACTCCTATTGAGCTGTAAATATACTAAGATTTATGCTTCATGAACACTTGGGCATTTTTTTACTTGTATTTTAGTTGAAAAATATATTTCCACAATACCTCTGATAAACACACATATTTGTAGGCAAGAGTTCCTGTTGGGAAGTTTATTTTAGAATTGCCAGCTGGGATGTTGGATGATGACAACGGTGATTTTATTGGCACCGCAGTTCGTGAGGTCTCTTCCTGTCTCTGTGAACTTTTCAGACACTTGAGAAACATAATTACTCCTCATCTAATCATCTCTCTTTCCACTGTTTTACCTTTTTCCTGTCTCTAATTTTGTGCTTTTATTGGCATTGTATTACATTTCCCATCATTGGTGTCCCCCTCAGGACATTATGTTAATTTGGAGAACCATAGATATTAACTTTATACTATTTCTTCGGTCTGTAGATGTTATGTATGCTTCCATATTAGTTCTGGTATTGATGAGGGAACATGCACATTACATTAACTGTGTTAGATGGAAGTTGGAACAAGTAGGATCTTATTGAACACTTTCCTTTCTAACTATTTACCAAGAACCTTGACTTCCAGTCTGTAGGTGTTATGTATGCTTCCATATTAGTTCTGGTTCTTACACTTCCAGTCTTAATTTGTTCTAAATACAAATTTCTTGATTGGCATGGATGATTGGGCATACTGATGAGTGATGATGACTCAGAGTATGTGACTGGTTGCATGCTTCTCAAAATGGACAAATTTCCAACTTGTTTGACATATTTAACTTTCATGCCTCTTTATGTTGATATTTGAAGAACCCCAGGTTTAAGCTGAGTGATAGTCATTTTCAATTTAATACTAATCAGATAATTTTGACAGGTTGAAGAGGAGATTGGTATGCATTTAAATCTGGATGACATGGTTAACCTCACAGCCCTCCTGGACCCTTCAACTGGAGGGAGAGTTTTCCCCTCACCGGTATGTTACTTCCTTAATCAAATATTTCCATCCCCATTTTTTCTATGCATACCTACATATTAAGAATTAGAATGTAGTAAGGTCCACCATGCTACTTTCTCAGTCAAGTTATAAATTTGTTTTTCCTTTAGTCTCGTTATATTTCTTCATCATTTAAGTATCATTCCATCTCAATTCTCCTCTGTTTAGGGTGGATGCGATGAGGAAATTAGCCTTTTCCTGTATAGAAGTCGTGTGGATTCTGAAACTATATCAAAACTTCAAGGAAAAGAAACAGGTCTTCGTGAGCATGGGGAGCTGATAAAAGTGCATGTAGTTCCCTATGATAAGCTGTGGCGTGCAACAGCTGATGCAAAGGCTCTTACAGCAATTGCTTTGTATGAGATGGCGAGGAGAGAAGGGCTTCTTCCTCCTTGAAACTCATCTGACCTCACTAGCCACTGAATCAGTCTATGGTTCTTAGTGAATTGCTGATATGCTGCCACCTGTTCATAAAGATCATTTAGAACCTTTGATGCATTCATTCATTGATCCGGTGATCCCGAAAACTTCCCATAGCAGACCCATAATATTGTAGCGCATGGTATTACAAATAAAGCTTCAATAATTAGAAATTATTTCGTATGGTATTACAGTAATTTACTTTTAAATAATTAGTTTCATTTCAAAGAAATGAAAATCCAACGTAAGTCAACGGAAGACAAAGCCAGGTTGATGGCGTTGCTTTGACAGCACTCCTTATTTAACTTATTGTTCCTTCACATGAAAATCCAACGGAAGACCGATTACTAATCTACTTCCACTCTAGTCTCTTCGGTTTTCATTACTGGTTGGGACAGGATTAGGTTAGATCATAGATGTCTTTTGCTTCATACCATCGAATCAATGCGTCGTACCATGAAAGTTACTCGAAGAGTTGGAATTAAAAAGCGTGCATTGAATCAAGATATGTTTGATCGAATAGAAGATGGGAGCTCTGAGCAGGCGTACTAAACATGATGAGCTGCCTTGGATTCCATTGGTTGAAAATTGCATCCATGAAATATTTTATACTTTTCACTGTGTGATTGACAATAATGCATGATAGCCTCCTATTCTTTAATTGGGGTTCTGCTGACAGACAAGCCCTGGTGGCTACATTCTTGTCTCAATTGCTTTGCTTTGTGGAATTCTCCCAAACGTCGGACGTCGGTATCTGATATCAGCCCAGTTGAGTTGGGTGGCACATTTGGCAGCAGCACGCAGTTCGTCCCACCCACTGAGTTGTAGTAGATGTTTAGACAGTTTAGTAGCTCACTTAATGGGTTTGTTGTTTGTGAGTTATGCCAAAGCCAACCTGTTCGAAATTTGAATGGAGGCGTCGCACTCATGGGGCATCATTCATCTGTCCCTTCGGGATCCCGTGTTTAGGTGAGTACATTATTATCAAGGGATAATTACTTACCCTGTTGTATATTTAAGGAATTACTAAATTGTACAGTGTACTTTAAAATGAAAGCATTTTTCTCAACATCTGCTGCATTTTCAACTACCCCAAACCATTGTCATTACCTCATCTGAAAATTTCAAATATCCGCAATTGGTTGATATCTTTGCAAATTAAGATATCAATCTACTCTATTAAACAGATTGCTTTTGCAACCAAAGATGGCCTAATCTCTACCCGCATTCGTTTGAGAATATAAAATGTTTGTATACCCGTCTACCTGGAGCAGGACACACTTTGAAAAACAAAGTCTCCAGAAACGCTCTTAGTCTCAAATTCCCGAGTTTCTGAGAGAGAAAAAAGACGATACAGGTAAGTCTTCTTAGTCATCCCTTGGCTGTAGAAGGAATGAGAGTAGTTTTGTTTGTAGCAGAGTAGGGTGACATGAGAGAGAGAGAGAGAGAGAGATGATGACCTGTGCGAGAGAGATGAAACAGGAAAGGGGGAAGGGAGAAAGGGTGACAATGGACATCCACTTTATATATACTAGCGGAGTAGCGGTTACCTGTGCAGTGCACAGGATGCTTTTTTAAAATGTACTTTTTAAGGAAAAAAAATCAAGTAACAATGATTATATATTTCTAGTTCTTTACAAATAAAATAGTAGAAAAATAATTTTTTCCCTTTTTAGTTATCGAACCTCAAACTTATTCCTTTTTATATAGTTTATATATTATGAGTTCATAATCAATGGCCTAGCATGAGAACCAACTAATGATGGCTTAGTTGATGGGTTCTCCATGGTTTTTAAAACCGATTCGGAGACTGAACTAGTCAGGGGTCCGGTTACTGGGTCGAATAGTCCGACCGTTCGAACTGAACGGTCGGCCTGTTTTGACAAAAAATAAAAAAAAAACAATCAAAACCATTCAAATGGTTAATTGCTCGGGTCAGCGGTTTGCTGACCAAAATCTACGATTTTTGAAGAAATTCCAATTTTGGAAATAACAAAAACTGGTCACCTGACCGGTTCCTGGTTTTTCCAGTCCAGCCCGATTTTGAAAACCATGGGGTTCTCTGTCTAGTTGTAGTGGAGGCCTAGGATCAAAACCCATTGCTACTAAGAGGGTTCAGGGATGGGTTATACCCCCCCGCCCCCCCAATTGTGTAGCCCTATAAAGCCAAAATATGTGCTTAATAAGAGATCAATAACCAAATTGGAAAACAACAATTACAAAATTGAGCTCATAAAGGTAACCAAAGGCTCACTTTGGAAAGAGTACAAATATAAATATGTACAAAGCAAATACATACAAAATATAAGGTTTTGCACTCTAAATTTTTGTATTTGTACTCCTTCCAAATTGAGCCAAAGGCTACCATTAAGTGCATTCTTACTACATAACCCATGGAAAGGAGCAATGGCTTCTTTAGACTTTTATATAAGGAGAAAATTGCTTCATCCCATTTATTGGTAGACAAATTTGGGTTTTGACATTAGTTTAGGTCCAAGCTAGGGTTCATATTTAGGTTAATCCTAACCTAACTCAACCAATCCATCTAATTTACACCTCTACTTTCTTAGAGAAAGCCAAAATGGGTTAAAAGGGATTTAAGAGGAAAAGAAGGATTTAATGGAGAGGGGATGATAGTCATATTATAGAGTAAATATAGATTTTATGAGAGATAATGAAGATCCATTAGGGTTTTAATTTTGCCTTGTGTTTTGAATGATTTCATTTAAAAAATAAATATGCACAGATGTGAGAAAGGAGAGGAGGAGGCACACATGAGCTCTATGGTGAGAGGACCCCTCACTTCCCCTCTTTCCTCTTTCTATATGTACTAGTGGTGACCCGTGCGATGCATGAGATGTTTAATAATATACTTTTTAAGGGAGAAAAATGAAGTAACTGTGATTCACCAAAGTTTTTTTACATATTTCTAGTTTTTTATATGTAGAATAGTGAAAAGCATCAATTTTCTTTTCTTTTTTATTTATTGAGCTTCAAACTTTTCCTTTTATATAGCTTATATATTATGAGAATCACATTTCATGCCCAAGGAAGGATCCAAAATCTGCTCCCACTGAAAATGGCACAGTGAAGGATGGAGCAGAATCAGCAATGTTCTTCAAAAGAACTTGACCCTTYGCAAGAATCAACTGGACGGCTTGTGAGTACAGCTCCAATCAATCTTTTCCCAAAAGATTGAAATCAAGATC